CCTTATCCACCTGGCCATGCCGGGCTCATCCTCGAAGGTCTAGTTATCTTGATGTTCAGGTAGCTTTGTGTGTGCTTTCTATTGCTTCTCCCATATAACGCATACATTTCCATTTTGTTATTTATATACAGATACATTTTTTTTGTTAGATGAGACCAGCATAATGTTGCATGACGTCATGAATTATTAAAAAATTCCACAGTGATCAGCAGAGGGAGACTTTTCACATTCCTCGGTAATCTTGACAGCTATGTTTGATTGCATCTTGTCGTTTGGAAAAATATAATCATGTAAGTTTTGTAATAATAATGATAACGTTTCAAGATACTGTTATTTGAAGAAAAATATATAAAGTTGCTCACTTGAATATTTTCCGAATAGGTTTCCCTTAATGTGTTTTCTGGAATAGAACTCTTTGTCCAATGTAGTAACACACAACGGTAAGAATCAGGCTGCGAATTATAACTGTTGCGTCAGCGAGGTCACGTGACTGGTGTCACGCCACGTTTCTAGAACTATCCTGTTCCTTCGGGAATTGTCGGGAGATTACTAGATATAGGATAGTCTGGTATATATAAGATGGTGACAACGTGACGGGACAATATGTGTGTAGGTAGTGAGTAATTGAACTGCAGTCAGAAAGTATTGTTGAAGTTAACTTTCGTTGTTAAAACGTTTGTTATAGAGCGACTGTTGAAAATAAGTGTATCGGTAAAGTTAAATTCAGAAAGAATAAACCAGTTTTATTAAGTAAGGACTTGTGTCACTAAAGTTTCGTCGGAACGAAGTTACGGAAAATCAATTAACGACTGGAGGTGTAACATAACAGTACGTGTTCGCTTTTTAAGCACAAAAATTAAAACGAGTAATCTACGTGTAATCTACTCCAAACGCCTGTGACGCATTTGAATTTTTTAGGCAATTTGGGACAAATAATAGATAGAAGATAGACCTACGTTCTGTCGAAAGATGTAGGACATATGGTCTACCATCAATACAACTTTTCCTTATGCTTATAAATCGTTGTTTGCCTACTGTTGCGTATCTGCTCGTTTGTTAAATTCCGGTATAATTTCTTTCCGAGGAACTTCGGCGATACAAGTTCTTTCATAATTAAAACTGTTTATTCTTTCTTGATACAACTTTGTAATACACAGAATTTCCACAGTCACTTTAAACTTAACAACTTTTATAACACGCTATAAATCACAGTAATTCACATACTTTACTTAGGTGCCTACTGTTCGCTCGACTCAGTTATCTCCCTGGCAAACACTCGGACATTCACGAGGTTCTTCGATAAGTCATGATCCTTCTAGAAACTCTAGCATGCATGCTTCCAGCGTCACGTGACTTCCGCTGTTGTAACACTACCTACTATTATATTATTATTAGCATAATGTGCTACCTTACTCAAGTATTTGGGACAAAATTACGACTTAATTTCTTTAAATGTTAACAAGGCTGTTTTTCGCTCTTCATGTTAGAATTTAAACAAATAAGTATTGTTCATTTGTTGTTAAGCAAGCTATGCAATAATCTATCTTTTCTGTGCTCACTACGAGTATCGAAACCCGGTTTCTAGCGCTAGAAGCCTTCAGACTTACTGCTGAGCACGTAAGTAATCCAACACTAGTATGCATTGGTCTTCAATGTTAGCCAACTATACTTTGTGTCTGTCCTTTATGCCCATGAGCTCAATAGTTACCTACACTGGTCCCCATAACCTTCCATAATGTCCTCTCACACCACAGAGCTTCTATACACCTTCTGGTACTCCTTTGTGATCTAGCACCTTGATACTCACAAGGGTTTGCTGAGATGCAGAATCTATGACAAAGGTGCCCTTTTGGCCATCCAGCTTTCCTGTCACGTAGACACTATGCGTGCTTGCCATTTCACACTTAGCTGTTGGTGAGTGTCCCTCAACACCAACCACTACTGGTCTCCTTGAGGCTGACTTGTTGGTAATATTCCTCCTATGCTGGCTCCTTATATGTCCTTGTTTTCCACAGTTCAAACAACTTTTCTGGATAGCAGCCTTTCCTGCTGTGGAATCTCCCCTGTATTGAAGTTACCAGCATTGAGCTCTCTTGTGCCCAGGTTTGTTACAGTGCCAGCAAAGTCCCTCAAACTTCTCTGAAAGCTGACTTTTTCTGGCCTTGAATCCAGATGACTGTACCAACCTCGGTACCTCTGTGCTGGACTTAATGTAGGATTCAAATTCGAGAGCTCTGGCCATTGCATCCTGCTTGGTAGAGGGGTGTGCTTGCTTCACTTGTATCATAAGTTGTGGACTGTCCAAGGCATCTACGAACTGATCCCTCAGCAACAACTTGAGGAGATCGGGTGGTGCAGTTGGGTAGGCCTTGTGTGTCATGCTTTCCAAGCCCTGTGCCAGCTCTTGCAGGCTCTCCCCTTTAGCACGGACTCTCGTCCTGTAAACTTCTGACTGGTTTTGGGTTCCGTACCTGAGTTCTA